CTTAGATGGTGGCAACACTCTTCAAATTGAACCGCCTGACGTAGGACCTTAGCCCTTCTCTATCTCCCTGCTAAATAGCTCCCAAATCGAGACTTCTCTTTTAGGCGGGGATGTTCATAGAGAAGTTGGATGCAAACAGGTATAAAGCGTCTTAAAGTTGTTGATGCAACCGGCTGACAAATTGCCAAACCATCGTTGGGCTATGCCCTTCAATGTCGCCGGGAAGCATCAGCACCAAGCGGCATCATCCAACCCCTCTAAATACATGAGGTTGGTGTACGCCATTAGGTGGTCTTCCGGGTTTGTTGTACCTTGGCCGGCTATGCCGCCTCGGTTATCTCCTTGGAGAACGCCGACGGCTGTTCCCCAAGTTTTAGCAGCCGGAGCTGCCAATCCATTGGCTGGACATTCTGTGCCGCCTAACCCCCAAAGAGGATCTGCTGCATGTAGGGTGATCCATATGGCATGTATGGCTGTTGGGGCACATACAGATCCGGATGGATAATCTGAGGGCCAGTACGGGCGGACATGCCGTGTGACTGACTCTCTCGGAGTTCGTCTCTTGTAACAGGGGCAACACCCTCCACTGCCTGGGGTTATCTAGCCGGCTTGACGGTTGGGCTGCTAAGACCAGCTTTGTCTTTGCCTCGTTCCCTTATTTCCTTGCAACGGGTGCGTCTTGTTTTGAGTGACCCGTCTGGGCCACATAGGTGTCGACATCAAAGTCGTCACCACTGTCTTAGTCTGTATAGACCTCTACTCTGGCCAAAGGCCGTTTGTCATTAGCAGGCGGTACTGACTGTTGCGAAGCCATCTTAGAAGTACTCTCCCCACAGACGGCGCTAAATGTTTTGGGGTTTTTGGAGTCCCTTGGGAGAGTTACAATTCCAAGAATGGATGTTGACCGTCTGTACCTGCAAAACCACTGAAACTCCGGTTGGGTGGAGTTCCGCCTCCGACGATCAAGTTAGAACGTGTACGGACAGAGTTAAAAGTGCGGAATGTAAAGAGTTTCCCTCGGATTCCGAGAGAGAATATCAGCAATTAATATTGCTCCAATTTGTGAATATTTCTGAATGTGCAATAAATGGGGATCTCTCCCTATTTATAGGGTTTGAGGATCAGCTCCCCTTTCATGACTTGGACTGCCAAGTGTCATCGGAGGATAGGTTCTTTCAGAACCTCTCTGAGGGTGACACGTGTCAGCATGCAATTGGTCCACGTGGACTAGGGTATTTTTACCCTAAACAACAGTTGTTTCAGTTGATCAAATGAGTCTAGGATAAAAAAGACTATCAACAGTTCTAAAAACAAGCGGTAATCTGTAATATCTGGGTCAAAAACCGACTGTTGTTGCTTAAGGGCAACACAATCTGCTAAATTTGAGGATATAAGCTAAGCCCAAAACTTAGTAGCTAAACATACGAAGCAACTACATGCGACCGTTAGCCGTCTGATTCTTCTATACACTTAAAATCAAGCGACAAAGACTAAATAACCCAAAGGGCTAAGTCACAGTCGGTTGGTCTGGGTAACCTAAAAATGAACCTAAATATTACGAACAAAACTGCTTGTCTTATTGACACCAGTCGGTATTAGGCCACTATTCCTGCTTAGGTTAACGAAACCAAGAATAATAAAAGCTACCGCATGTAATATAACAAGTAGTCGCTATCTTAGTTAGATTTACCGTTTGATGCTTGCTATTGTCCAAGAATAATAAAAACTTAGCAATTAAGCGTGTTCCTGTTAGAACTATAATGAGGCTGAAGGCCGGATAAGGCGGAACGTATATCCACGTGTGCAATGGCCGACTGTTTGCCTGGTTTGGGGTAATCACCATAGTGATTGATTGACTTAGAATTCAGTCAAACTCTTTAAAGTATCAAAAATTTCCAAGGCAATCAATTTACCTTTGAAAACTAGGCGCACAGCCGCCCAGGGGATAATGAAAAAAGCATTCATACAAAAAGCAAGTTATACTTAGCAAAAATTTATGGAATGCAAAAATTCAAAGCAAGTATGAATTGGTGAAACCGGCTAAATGGCCGGATGATTCATAAAAATAGTCGGCCTTATGACCGACAAAAAGAGTTACCGGTACAACCAGGAGTATTTTTAAACTTGACCCCTCGGTCGGTAAAGATATATTGAAACATACGGCACGCAGGCCGAAGAAATAAGTACATGGCCATCCGGTCGCAGAAAGAAACTATCCAAGGCTTAAGCATCAGGAGGAGGCTTTTCTGTATCAGCAACCACATCCTTCTCTTCCCTAGTCAGCTCTTGTTTCTTTTCAACATCATCCTGCTCCTCCTGACCGTTCCCCTCGGCCGAATCAGACGACTTCTCCACCTCTTCTTCCTCTTCCTCTTGAACTTGATTAAGGAGTTTATCATTGTACTTTTGAGAGGAGGCGGCGAATTGATTCTTCTAACCGTCATAGCAAGCATCTGGGAATAGAGCCTCCCAAGTCATCTTCATGATGGCATCACACTCGTCCATCATCTGTGCAACCAGGGCTGCCTTCTCTTCCTCAGCCCTTGAATTATACTTCTTGGCAAGTTGGACCTCCTGGTTTTGCACCATAGCCTTGAGTTTTTCCACCCAGATGCGGACGCCGGCTGCTTCTGTTGGGTTTCGTAGCGTCCAACGCTACGCGGAAGAGAAACCCGCCCAAGAACGCCTCAATAAATAAAGCGATAAAGCATGCATAAACATAATTAAACAATAATTAAGAAAAGGGATAAAGAAGTAAGACCCTTGATGCGTGCTTCGCTCGTAAACCAAGCGCTTACTTCGAAGCTTAGAGCTTCACAAGCGTGACGACCTCCAATGGCTCGTACCCACGACCCGACCCGAACGATCTTCGCCTCGAGGGTCAGTCGAGACTTGACCAAGTATAAAGCTAGATTTTTACGAACTTAAAGGTTTTCTCAATAATAAGAGATGCCTTTTTGAGTTCTACTCAAGTTGATTTCCAAATGCCCAATCATGGGGTATTTATAAGGAAATGCAACTTGCACTTCCCATTCATGATCAATGTGGGATAGTTGCATTTTCTACTCATTTATTTAATTCCAAAATAAATTATAAAACAATACAATCACAAATCAACAAGTGGCATGAGGAGAGGAGAGGTTAGGTGAGGACCATAACCATGGGGGGACCATTGCCTTGCTCCCCAAGGCATGTCTGTAAGCGTTGGTCCCTACTCTCCTTAAAAAGGCATCAAGTAAGGGGTGAGCTGGCTGCCAGCCTTGCTGGCCAGCTAGCACAGCCAGCCCTGCACAGCTAGCATGCTCAGCACGCACCAGCCAGCATCCCTAGAACATGCGTGCTGCTAGCGGGCAACGCATGCTGCTGGCTGCTGCGCGCTGGGCAAGCCCTCGCTGCTTGCTGCTTGCTTCTTGCTGCTGCCATGCGAAGGCACGCACGTAAGCACCTAGCAACGCGAGGCATGCTGTGCTAGCGATGCACGCACACATGCCAGCTCCTAGTGCTAGCGATCGTGTGCTGTGCGCCTAGCTGTGAGAGGCCTTGTGATAGCACCTAGGCAAGCAAGCTCGCATGCTGCGGTGGTGCTGTGCCATGCGAAGGCACGTACACAAGCATGCATGGTGCTGTGATGGTGCTGCCATGCGAGGCACACACACACGCAATCACCTAGTGCTAGCGATGGTGCGCCTAGCACACATGGTGCGTCTAGGCTTGCGCCTAGACATGCAAAGTGCATGCTAGCTCGAGCTAGCCTAGCGTCCACATGGATAAGCCATTGTGATGCTACGACTACGCGTGAACTTGTTCCTTGTTGATTTTGTGACGCTCGGTCTCGACGCCCTAGGCTCGATATCCGACGTCTGTGTTCCTAATACTCTAGTGACTCATCAAATCCTTCGGTTTGATTCGTCGATTCGGATCGGCAGTTCGTTTGGGTTCGACCCGAAGGGTTCAGTTAAGACAAAGATGTAATATTAATTGTTCACTAATATTACAGATTAGAAGCGGCCTCCAACCTGGCATTCCGATCCCTTGATCTCACTGAAGAATAAGCTTCCTGATAATTCTGAAACCTCTATCAGAATAACACACTTGTTGGAAGGACACCATTCCTTTCAATCTCCCACTTGTCCTTCCGGACAAGTGTGCATACAGTGTATAGCCTATTTCCTATGTCGCTTAATGTCTATTCATGAACTATAAGGTAAGAATCTTCGTCATCCTTATTACGCCCAGAAGTGTTTCTCGATCTCCGAGTTCGACTGTCAATAAGCAAATGATTTCTAAAATCCATTTGAGCACGGCCATGCATTTTCACAGTCTCGCTCTTCGAGCGGCCTTGTAAACAACAAAGACATATTCCCTATTGTTAATATGGGGACATTCTCAGTCTTGTATTGTAAGCCTCTCTTACTAAGAGGACCTAACACTAGTAGAAAAAATGAAATAGACACCCCCCCTTTAGCACCGATTCTTGAAAACCGGTGCCAAAAGAAATGGGCGGGATTGAAAAATTCAGTGTTGGCACCGGCTCCAACTAAAACCGGTGCCAATCATTTAATTAGCATCGGTTTCAAACTGGTGCCAACTTATATATAAAAAAAAAATAAAAAAAAAATATGTATGGCATAGAGTTGGCACCGGTTCGCCTTAAACCGGTGCCAAGTATTTTAATTAGCACCGGTTTAAACCGGTGCCATTTTTTTTTAAAAAAAAACCGGGTCTTCGTTTTCATTTCCTCGATCTTTCCTCCTGCTATCTCATCTGATCTGCCTCTCTCTCTCTTCCATTGAAGCGTACTCGAATTTCTCCATTGAAGGGGCTTCTGAGCTTTCTCTAAGCACTTTCCTCAAACTCCTTTTCTCTCCTTCGATATTCTTCTCCATAACTGCCACTTTCCCTTTCCTTTCTTCTCTCTTTCGATCTCCTTCTCCTCTCTTTCTACAACATTGGAGGTTAGGGTTTCTGGGTTCGTCTATTTTGAATCAAATCGATGTGTTTGCGTCTTCAACAACAACAAATTCGAATCAATTTCCAACCAAAAATCAGAAATTCGAGGTTAGGGTTTCTTGGTTATTTAGCTTTGCGTTATATTTTGGTCTTTTGGTCCAATTATTCATTTTGAGTTTTTTTGGTGTTTTTTATTGTTTGAGTTATTTCAGTTGAAAACCCTAGTGATTTTGGTGTTGTTTGTGTGTTTGGTTGTTTTATTGGATCTGCTCAGATCTTTGTCGTGATTGAGTTTTTTAGTTGATCTGGACTTTGCTTGATGTGCTTTATTATAGATTTGATTTGAAATTTTGTATAATTGAGTCGATATAATTGAGTGAAGTTGAGTTTGGTTGATTCACTTGAAATATGCGATTTTTAGGGCTGCTAATTATGCTTGGTTATGATTTTGATTAGTAGTTAAGTTGAGTTGGTGGAATTTATTGGAATTTGCGAATTGGAAGTAGTGTAGTTTAAGTGATACTGAATTATGATCTGTAAATTCAGTGAAATTAGGACGAATTCTACCTTTGTTTGAGGTGAAACTGAAATGAGTTGGTGCAATTCATATGAACTTAAGTTGATACCTTTGATTCTTAATTTTGTAAAACTAAGAAATTTTGTTGGATTTTATAAGTTTGGAGTGAAGCTGAGTTTTTATGCTATTTACTGGGATTTGCAGCTTCCAACTGACTCTTTCTTATCCTCATCTTTCTGTCATTTATTTGAAGTCATGTGCTCAGGGTTTCGAATTGTTTCTACATGTGATCAGGGAATATATTACTGCTTCGAGAATGAAAAACAGAGGTAGCAGGTGAAAAGAGGAAACTATTAGAATGAGATTAATTATTAGAACTTATAAAAAAAATTCTTTTAGTACTCGTAATAAGAATGCTTTGAATTGCCAGTACATTTTGGATTTTGTCTTTCGGGATCTTAAGGATCAATGTAATCACGGTATGATAACATAAGATCATGTTTATAGAATAGTTGATTACATAGCTATGTTACTTAACTAAAAGTTTTGCGTTGGTAAGACTTGTTTAATTCTCGATTTTGATGTTCTGTCTTTTCTGTATGATATAAGATTGCAGGAATATATTCTGAAAACATCAGAATTTTGAAGACGGAATCGTCAAGTGAATATGCTCTATCTCCTGAAGTACTTTCTGAAGCGGTATCACATGATGTTGCTTCTGGTCTCAAACCTCTTTTCTTATGTGCTACTGTAAGAATAACAATCCTTATTACTCTGATACAGTGATACCCCTTATCTATCCTGATTTTGTTTGTTGTTTTAGTGAGATGTGGGGATTCCACTTCTAGTTTCAGCTCTTTTCTAAGTGATTGAGTCCAACTATAATCTAGAACTGCTTAAACAACTATAATCTCTATAATATTTGCACAGATGTTAATTTTAAGACCAGTAAAAGTAAAATATTGTAAGCTCAATATATCCAGGGCGGTGTGAAATCTAGGCCAGAATAATAAGGAGTACTCCCTAAAATCTATATCAGGGTTTGCATCAAAACCGTAACCATATGAGTAGCATTATAAATTTTCACCAGATTAATAAAGAAAAATGTTTAATGTTTGTATCACTACTGGTGGACATTGACAGAGGTGGAAGTGGCAGACAAACTTCTTGAGTTTCGTTCCAAGCATGATGGTTTTGTGGATACAAGTTTTGATACTATAAGTGGTACTATTCAATTGCTCTTTTGACTATTGAATTATATCCTTTTAAATAGCTTTTAACCAACTCTGTTGAGTATATTTTTATAATAAGTCATTGCGAAGAACCTCAAATACATGAGTGATATATTTTTAATTCTTGTGAATTTTGCTGCTATATTTTAAGCATTTTGATTTTTTTTTAGGTGAGAAATAAAGTAATTTCTGGAAACACAGAAAAAAGGAGTGGTAGTAGACACAATACTATTCTATCATAACATGCACAATCTAAAGTTACACAGTGGCTCAAGCTAGTAATTCATTAGAGATTGATGTAAAAGTGGTAATTCTTCTAAGAATATTATTGTGTCTATGATCATCCTAACATACCAGGCAACATGGCAAAGTAGTCAAGCAGAAGCTTAAATGACCTTGTAGGATTTCATCCTTTTGGCTTAAATAATTTCGTCCTACTGGCTTTAAATAATTCACTTCTAGTGACAAGAAGGGTATTTGACCAACTTTCAAACCTGGTTTAGAAACATGATTTTGCAGCTTCCTGTTGTACGTGTATGACTGTTTCTTTTTGTTGATTTACTGGAAATGATATTTATAAAGTGCTTCATGTAAGGGTTGCCCTAGCTTCTTTCTCTTTATGTTTTGTAGTCTAGATTGTACTTCATTACTTTTTGGACCAATTGTGTTTTTTATGCTTCCTTTCTTTGGATTGTGGACTCAGGCTCCTCTCTCCCCAACCTTTAACCCAAAGAAAAAAAAAAAAAAAAACTCTGTTCTGTGTTTATTTGCATTTTGTATGTATGTAGGCTGCTAGGTTACCATTTGGATAAGATTTTAAAATTATTATTCGTACAATCTGTTTAATTGCTGGTGTTGATATGTTACTTTATCCATTTCTACCATTTATGCATCCACTTGGTCTTAAGGAAGTTTGTTTTTGTAAAATAAAACATTCTCTTGAATTCTGATACTTTGGCTCCCTGAAAATTTCATCTAGCATACTTCACTCTATGTTTCTTGTAAGTTTAATAAAAATTTGTAGGAACAAGCATTATTTCATCAAATGTTTTGTTAACTATTATCATGGTGTAGCGTTAATAAATGCTACCTTTTTTCTCAATCTCATGTTCTTTCAACTGTCCTGCTAATGAAAATGTTCTTTCCACTTATCAAATGCATGGAAAATGGCTTTCAGGTTCTGGTCCGAATGGTGCAATAATTCATTACAAACCAGAACCAGATAGTTGCAGCATTGTGGATCCTGAAAAACTCTTCTTGCTTGACAGTGGAGCACAATATATAGATGGGACAACAGACATAACGAGGACGGTTCATTTTGGTGAAACTACTTCTCGAGAAAAAGAGTGTTTCACTCGTGTTTTACAGGTGCTAATTACGACTTCCAAATCCATTAATCTTTTATGAGAAATTAACACATGTGTACTTGCTCTAGATATTTGTTATTTGTTATGCTTATTTGCTGGCCATTGCCTAGGCCCCTCGCACCAAAAAAAAAAATGGATATATGTATTAAATATTCATTTACGATAAGATAAATGCAGGCTCTTGACTAAAGCAATGTGACATATGAAACTCGTTCGCTCTTGCCTGATTGTAAAGGTCACCAGATTTTTGGAATGGAAGAATAATATACTACCAGATTTTATGCATTATTGATTCTTTTGCCCCTGTATCTGGCTTGTCTTGGCATTGCTCTCTCTCATTTTAGTATAAACATTGTTTACATTCTTTCTATATGCTTATTTCTTAATAGACTCTCCTATCAGGATCTTTTAAGGATTATGCAGCCTTCTCGAACTAGGCGTTCTGATGTTATTACAAGCGTGATTAAAACTCTTTTTGCCCATTTTATGATTAAAAAGATCTACTTGAATCTTTTTAAGGACCGTCTAGCCTTCTCTAATTAGTTCCTTTTGCCTGAATTAACAGCACAGCACATCAGAGCGCCACCAGCACAGCACCACAGAAGCTCACCAGTACCGCAACACAGAGGACCACGCAGCAGAACCCAGCAAACACAGCAGCCTGACTAGCAAGCAACACAGCACTACAGCAGAGCAGCAAACACCCAGCACTACAACAGAGCAGAACAGAAACACAGCAGCTCAAGCACTCAAACCAGTCACCCAGTCAGCCTGAACATAACAAAGACACGGCCACAGAAGCAAACAGATGCCTAGCCAGCATGAACAAGCAGAGGCACAGCAGCGCAGCTAAATGGAAACAGCAGAGCAGTTTGGTTATTTAATTTTTTTTAGACGAAAATTATAATATTACAGCCTTTTTTAATGAAAATATGTAACTTTATTTTTTTTATTTTTCTGGGGTATATTTGGCACCGGTTTGGACCAGACCTGGTGCCAAAAGTTTTTTATAATTTTTTTTTTGAGACTTTTGGCACCGGTTCAAAGCAAGAACCGGTGCCTAAAGTGGGGTTTTTTGAACCGGTCCCTAAAGTGGGATTTGGCATCCCTCAAATACCCAACGGTTCAAAACCGGTGCCAAAGGGGGGCTTTGAACCGGTACCTTTTTATCTTTTTCGTCTAGTGAACTCCTCTGTGGAATGGAGTATCCGAAAGGAGAAATCGAACCTTGTCAGACATGGTTCGATCAATGATGGGTCTTAGTGAACTTCCTATCTCTTCTAGGGACATGCGCTACTAACTGCGGCACTAACACTGAACCGTGCTACGTCAAAAGCTGTCGAAAAGACTCCATATGAATAATGGACTAAGAAACCTCCAAGGTTGTCTTTCCTTAAGATTTGGGATTGCGAAGCATATGTCAAGCGATTAATTTCTAACAAGCTTCACCCGAAATCAGACAAGTGTTTCTTTGAGGGCTACCTAAAAGAAACCAAGGGGTACCATAACAAATCCGAGAACAAAGTCTTTGTTGCTCGAGATGGTGTCTTTTTGGAGAAGGAAAACCTTTCCAAAATGACAAGTGGGAGGAAAATCGAACTGGACGAAGTTCGAGAGGACGAGCAACAATGTCAACCTGATAAAATTGACAATCAAAATGCTTTATAAGAAGTTGATAAGATTGGTCAGAATCAAACAGACAATGTAAATGCTCAACTTAGTACCCTTCGTAGGTCGCAACGGCCAAGATCTCAACCAGACAAATACCTTAGTATTGTCTTAACCGAAGATCGGGACATCCTAGTCATGGATGGAGATGAGCCAGCGACAAACAAACAAGCTATGACGAACCCTAACTCTGCTAAATGGCAAGAGGCCATGAAATCTAAGATGGACTCCATGTTTGAAAATCAAGTCTGGGACTTGGTAAATTTGCCCGAAGGTTAAACACCCATCGGTTGCAAATGGATTTTCAAATTGAAAACAGTCAAAGATGGAAATGTATCAATATACAAAGCTAGACTGGTGGCAAAAGGTTACAGGAAAATCCACGGGATTGATTATGATGAAACCTTTTCGCCAGTCGCAATGCTTAAGTCCGGTTGGATCATCTTAGCGATTGCTGCATATTACGATTACCAAATATGGCAAATGGACGTCAAAACCGTCTTCCTTAATGGGATTTTGGAAGAAACTGTGTATATGACACAGCCGGAAGGTTTTGTTGATCCAAGCAATGCTGGAAAAGTATGCAAGCTTAAGAAGTTCATTTATGGACTGAAGCAGGCAAGCAGAAGTTGGAATCTACGATTTGATAAAGCCATCAGTAAGTTTGGTTTTATCAAGAATCCAGATGAGTCTTGTGCTTACAGGAAGGTCAGTGGGAGTGACATCGCATTCCTAGTCCTATATGTCGATGATATATTGCTCATTGGAAACAACACAAAATTATTAGAGTCCATAAAGGGATGGCTAGAAAAGTGCTTTTCAATGAAGAACTTAGAAGAGGCACAGTACATATTGGGCATCAAGATCTATAGGGATAGATCTAAGAGGATGATTGGATTGAGCCAGAGTACTTACGTTGATAAAGTACTGGCATGATTCAGCATGGAGAATGCCTAGAGAGGGCACCTACCCATGTCCCATGGCGTAACTCTCAGCAAGAAACAGTGTCCACAGACACCTGTTGAGCGGGAGAGAATGAATCAGATTCCATATGCTTCGCTAATTGGATCGATCATGTAGGCCATGATATGTACTAGGCCTGATGTATCGTACGCCTTAAGTGCTACGAGCCGATCCCAGTCAAATCCAGGAGAGGCGCATTGAATGCGGCTAAGAATAACCTAAAGTACCTGAAAAGGAACAAGGATAAATTCCTGGTCTATGGTGGCTGTGAAGATTTGATTGTTGAAGGTTACACCGACGCTAGCTTCCAGACTGGCAGAGACGACTTCAAGTCACAGTTAGGGTACATATTTTGCCTAAATGGAGGAGCGTTTAGTTGGAAGAGTGCCAACCAAAGCACCACTGCAGATTCTACAACTGAAGCCGAATACTTGGCAGTTTCGGAAGCTGCTAAGGAGGCAGTTTGGATTCGTAAGTTCGTCACTGAACTTGGTGTTGTACCCTCCATCAAGGGTCCAATAGATCCCTATTGTGAAAACAATAGAGCTATTGCTCAGGCCAGAGAGCCAAGAGAACACCAGAAGGTCAAACATGTCCAAAGGCGATTTCACATGATAAGGGAATGGAAATCCGAAGGTGAAATCAGAATTTGTAAGATCGGGACGGATGACAATGTGGCCGATCCTTTTACTAAACCTCTTCCTTAGGTGAAGCACAACAAGCACGTGGAGGCAATGGGAATCAAGCACGTTGGAGATTGGTTTTGAATTCCCTATACATATGTTTTAATTAAACTAGATGTCTTAATGTAAAACACTATGTTGAAACCATTCTTTTTGGAGTAATCAATTTTATGCAAAATTACTATTCAATCCATTGTTATTTAATTGTGGTTTAGAATTAAATAATGAGTCCATTTGATTTCAGAGAATATTCAAAACAAGGTATCAAGACCATGTCTTGGATAAAGAAACACCTGTTAAGTGAACATTGAATATTTAAATCGAAAATTATCTCTAATCGAGGTCGTTTAACTAATGGACGATCAATGACCACCAGAGATTAGTGTGTAGTATGAGTTACAACATCGTTTCTTGTGCTGCAAGGACATAGTAGTCATAAATCATTTACACAGGTGCTAGTTTGGAACTACACCGGATCGACCTATGAGAGTACTTTAAGAGATTCAAAATCGTCATAAGTACATTTCTCATTATAACTATCGGAACCTGTTTCCTCAACCATGAATATTGTGAATTTCACTTGTTTGAGTACTAGTCTCTTTGATGTTGCCAAACGTCCGCCGTAACTGGGGGGAACACCTGGGAGATTATGTCCTGTTAGTAAGGGAGGCTTACAGTACAAGACTGGGAATGTCCCCCTATTAACAATAGGAAATATGTCTTTGTTGCTTACAAGGCCGCTCGAAGAGCGAGACTGTGAAAATGCATGGCCGTGCTCAGATGGACTTTAGAAATCATCTGCTTATTGACAGTCGAATTCGGAGATCGAGAAACACTTCTGAACGTAATAAGGATGTCGAAGATTCTTACCTTATATGCACACTTTTCCGGAAGGACAAGTGAGAGATTGAAAGGAATGGTGTCCTTCCAACAAGTGTATTATTCTGATAGAGGGTTCAGAATTAATAGGAAGCCAATACTTCAGTGAGATCAAGTGATCGGAATGCCTGGGTGGAGGCCGCTTCCGATTACTAATATTAGTGAACAAATAATATTATAACTTTATCTTGACTAAACCCTTCGTGTCGAACCTAAACGAATTGCCGATCCGAACCGACGAATTAATCCTAAGGATTTGATGAGTCACTAGAGTATTACGAACACAGACTTCGGATATCGAGCCTAGAGCGTCGAGACCGTACGTCGTAAATTCAACACACAACAAGTTCGAGCAAAGCCGTAGCATCACATTGGCCTAGCCATGTGGTTGCTAGGCTAGCTCGAGCTAGCATGGATCTCGCATTGCTAGGCGCTAGTGTAGGGTTTTGTAGTGACCCGACACTACGCGGAAAGAAACCCCCCAAGACCCGCCCCTTAATTAAAGCAATTAACAAGCATAATAAACTTAATCAAACAAGACTAAGAACAAGAATTACACCTTTGTTGTGTGCTTCGCTCCCGAAGAGCTCTTACTTCAAAATCCCGAAACTACGAGATCTCTGACGGATCGTACCCTCGACCCGACCCGAGCGTCCCAAGTCTTGAAGGTAAGTGAAGACCCGGACAAAACAAAACTATGAGTTTTACGAATCAAAGGTTTACTCTAATTACAAGAGTTACCTTTTTAATTCCACTCAAGGTTGTGCATTTCCCACTACCATGCCTTTGGTATTTATAGGGAAATGCACCCTTGAACTTCTTTCCCCAACCAATGTGGGAGACTGAATTATTTGACAATTAATTTATTTCTAAAATAAATTAATAATTAAATTCAATCACAATGCAACAAGTGTCAAGGGGAGAGAGAAGGTTAGGTGAGGACCATGGAGAGGTGGGGGGACCAATTCCTTGTTCCCCAAGGCTTTGCCCAAGCCTTGGTCCCCACACTCTCCCTCACTGCCGCCACATAGCTGCTGGGCTGGCAACCAGCTAGCACATGCCCAGCAGCCTCAGCATCCCAGCCAGTCAATGCGTGCTGGTGCTAGGCGATGCTTGCGCTGATGCTGTGTGCTGGCGCTGATGCATATCCAGCATGCGTGCTGCTAGTGAGCCACGCATGCTGGCCCCTTGCCTCGCCAGTCACACGCACCACCTTCGCATCCCTCGCTGCACTTCTCGCACATGCGCCACACGCATTGCTGGCCCAGCCAGTGCGCCTACGCACGCAAGGGCCTAGCATGCGTGTTGGGCGATGCTGCCAAGGCACCTTCGCACTAGCACACATCAGCCAGTGCGTGTGTGGCTCTGCCATGCGCACCTAGGCATCCAGCCAAGCACGTTGTTGTGTTGCGATGGTGCACCTAGGCTGCGATGGTCAGCGATGGTGCCTAGGCATCATGCTAGGGCTGCGATAGCGCCTAGGCATGATGCTACGGCTGCGATGGTCAGCAATGGTGTTCCTAGGCTGCGATGGAGCGCCTAGGCTGCGATGGTGTGCCTAGCACACCTTGTGTGCTTAGGCTTGCACCTAGCCATGCTAGGTGCATGCTAGCTCGAACTAGCCTAGCATCCACATGGTTAGACCATTGTGGTGTTACGGTTACGTTCGTACTTGTCGCTTGTGATTTTGCGACTCTCGGCCTCGACGCCCTAGGCTCGATATCCGAACTTCTGTATTCGTAAAACTCTGTTGACTCATT